GTTGTCTCTTAATGACGGAAAGTTAGGCACCAGACATGCAAATCTGTTCCCGTTACACAGCATGCAGTCCGGCGAGTGGACTTGCATGAATGGGACTGCATTCCCACCGCACAACACTGCGACAGAATCCCGCACTGCCGTGACGGTTCTGACGAAGAGAACTGCCCGCCTCTGCCCGGTTTGTCTTTATTCAAATTTTCTCTCTTTCACTCTCCCGTATGTTTGTGTGTCATTTTCCGTAATACTTTAGTCTTTACATTGTGTCTTTTATCATATGATAATATAATTTGCCTACGATAAGTTTTAATCTTTTGATTGGATTATTCATAAGAAAACCTTTTGTGTGTGTATTAGCATTTAAGTTAAGCTTCAAAGGTAACCGTTTTTCCAACATTTCCATTTGTATTTAGATACACATATGTTCACATGTACACACACAAGTATACACAAAAAATTATATCTAAATCTTATGGTGTCAAGGCATAATATATATCATCATCAAAGGGGCCGAGAGCTGACGGGGGCTCATAGCTGCATCCACCCTTTGCTTTCAGCCACGGGTCCCTCATGGCGAGTCGCCAGGCAGGCCCTTGGCCCATCTCTAGTTCTTCACGGCAGGTCTGGTCGAGCTGCCTAAGCCATGACTCCCAGGTCTTCCCATAAGCCTTCATGCAGGATTGTCTCATAAAGAGACAACCTGATGGGCAGAGTCATCCACAGGGAAACGGGCTAGATTCCTGTACAGCCCGAGTTGACAGTTCTGGATTATCCAAGTAACAGGTCTCATGCTAGTCTCACAGTGGAGTCGTTGGACATATGAGGCATCTTTTCCAGCGGTTATGGGGAATGCGACACCTTTCATGTGACAGGAATTGAGCAGGCAGTAAACATTTGTCGAGTTGCCAGATGCATTTCTCTTCGGATATTTCATGCATATTCATACCTATATTGGATATCTATAACACAGCACTACCCACCATTAGATATCAAAAACCATCTTGTATATCATTTCAAAATATTGTGTACCTGTCGAAAAATATCCAGTGCAGAAAAATATCAAGCTGTCAATCGCAGCCATTCCCATTACATCACAGAAATGGGCGGAGCTTAGAGGCCTGTCTCACCTCCGATCACGAGACACCCTAATTGCCACTGGAAAAGATGCCTATGGTCCTGCCAACCCCATGATCTGGCGTAGGGACTTGTTACAAAAGGCATTGAGACGAGACTCCAAGGCACTGGATAACGTCTAGGTTTCGCTTCCATAAAGCAAAACTGGCAGTATCAAGGCTTAAAGACACATAATTTAGTCCTTATGCATAGGTACCTACACCTCCAAATATCCTTTTTGATTAAGTACATGGCTCCTGCTGCCAGACCATTCTGTCTACTGACTTCCTGGTCAGACAGCCCCGAGACATGAACTGCACCACCAAGATATGTAAAACTCTGTGACTTCAACGTCCTCGCCGCAAGCACGTATCACCTGAACATGTTCTAGTAGGCCCCCGAAATCTCGGATCTTGGTCTTAGTCCAGGAGACCTGCAAGCCCAGGAGCTTCGCCTCACTACTGAATGCATCAAGAGCAGAGACTCATCCAGAGACTCATAAAGAATTGCAACATCATCGGCAAAGTCAAGGTCTGTGACCTTGATATTATCCATTGTTGCTCCACACTGACCTTGGGAAGTAGGTCTGCCTGTTATCCAGTCCATGAATGTATTGAAAAGTGTTGGTGGAAGGACACAGCTTTGCCTCCCTCCTGAGTTGACAGGGAAGAAGCTCGACAGTCTTCCACCATACTTTACAGCAGTATATAAGCTCACTATTAATCCAATAATCCGTGTCAGAATTCCTCTAATTCTCATAATCATTATTCAGATGCACCAACGCCTTCTTGAGGTCGATGTAGGCTGCAAGCAGCCCACGACCGAACCCACGACGACATTTTACAATGACTCGAAGCACTGGATACGCGCTATTGCAGAGTTCCCGGGAGTAATCCAAATTGCTCTGGTCTTTGGTGCCTTAGCAGTTGGTTGTGGATCCATTTCAGAAGAATGTGGGTGAAGACCTTGCCTGGTTTACTGAGCAATGTGATGTCATGGTAGTTGCTACAGTCACAACGATCCCCTTTCCCCTTCCAGAGAGGGATGACTATGCCCCTCAACAGGTCAGGCGGAATGGAACAGACTGCCAGATGGCAGCCAGACAACATGCAAGCCCCATGCCACAGGTTCACCCCCAGCCTTTAGCTCCGGAGTTCCGTAAAGCCTGTAGCTTTTCCACCCTTCAGCTTAGAGATCGCCTACCTAACCTCAGTCAGGGTAGGAGGATCCTTCCTAATAGGTGGTCAGGCACAGGGAATCCACATCCCTAATATCTAGACTAACTGTTGGGGGCGGGGGGCGGTTCTACCTGTTACAATTTCGCAAAAATACTCAGCCCAACATTCACGAAACCCAACATGATGTGAGATAATCCATCATCCACTGAGTGAACTGCAAACATCCGTGAGAGATTGGAGTTCCATTTTCTCAGAGTTTGGTAGGCAGGACGAAGGTCATTTATTAGGAAATGGCTTTCTACCTCCTCGGCAAGATTCCTGATGAGCTGTTCCTTATCCCTTCTCAGTAGAGTCCTAGCCCTACACATCAAGGAACGGCGCAAATCTCGATTGCCGTTCAGACGAGCCATGCAACACATCTGTGGCCTCCAATTTCCCCAACGAGATGAGATTCTGCCTTGTCCTCAGATGTTCACACAATGGTCACACTGTACAATACGAATGTCTCACCGGGGGCATTTGTCTGTCACAGATGTGGGTTTGGCATAGAACGCAACTTTCATATCAAGTTTACATACATTGGTAAGAGCGAACACAGCAATAAGAGACACAAAGCCAAAAGCGTACTTCAGTCTCAGTGCCATAATACGCTCATCATCTGGAGACGCCTCAACTATCGAAGGTTGAAGTCGGCTGGAGATGGCTATGGCTATCCCTGGAGATGATCATTGCCCCAGCCCAATCAAT